GTATCACAAGCTGTTTCATTTGTTGTGCCATTTGTTTTCACGTAGCTGTTGTGGTGTCTAGCAAGCGGGTGTCTAGAAAACGAAGACCTAAGACTTAACCCTAACTCTAACATTAACCTTGGGGGGGGGGTTAGGGTTAGGGTTAGGGTTAGGTCTTAGGTCTTCGTTTTCTAGACACCCCGTAGCGGGCAGTTAAAACGGATAGGTGTCGCTGACAACAATTAGTCATATTTTCAACCCCTTGCGGCACAGTATACGTGGCTATGTCTCAAATTTAGATATGATAATAATATAATGTAATGCGTACAAGCATTAGTATGCATATTATCAGGAGTTAATAAAGACATTTGTCTTTATTAACTCCTGATATTATGTATGCAATATAATGTAATGTACACAAGCATTAGTAGGTATATTATGTATATGCAATATAACGTAATGTACACAAGCATTAGTAGGTATATTATGTATGCGTTATAATGTAAAGTAATGCTGCAACGTATACACGTGTCAGGGCGACATGCACCTATTACCTGCTGTCACCCCTGCTTTTGTGCGCGGCACGCCTGCATGTGTCGTGGTTGTTCAGGTAATCACGGAGCTGAGAGCTGTTGCAGCTCTGCGTCTTAATTAAGAGCTGCGCCGGCCTTCGTCGCTTCGCCGCTTGACTGGATTCTGCGCGTCGTCGTTGCTGCTTGTTGCTGCTCGATTTTGTTGTTGCTGTTGTGCGGTTGTTGTTGCTGTTGTGCGGTTGTTGTTGCTGTTTTGTGCGGTTGTTGTTGTGTGGTGCTGGTGGTCGCCGTCTCGGTCGGACACACATCACAAGGCTCGGCTCGGGGCTCGGCTACGGCATTGCGATGCGGCGGCGGTATCCATGTAAGAACGGGCATCGGTTATTTTCGGCATGCAGGATTCGACCATTTTAATTAGCTGGACATACCCCACGAATTTTTCGGGACGCGAGAAATTATTATTTTAATTAATGGGGAAATCGGGTCTTAACCTGCGGAACTGGGGATGGATCCCCCGTTCATCCCTTCTGTAAGTGGGGCATGCGACGTGTGTGCGCGAGTATGTGTGTGTGTGTGTGTGTGTGTGTGTGTGT